AAAAAAAAAAAAAAAAAAAAACACGAAACTGACATAGTTAAAGCAGTCATAGACGATTCGAACAATACGAAAACAGATATAGTTAAGCAGCAGTCATATAATTTATAACTTGGCCATATAGTGTGTTTGCAAACACTAAAAAATGGGAAAAGCTGAGAATCAGTGAATCGCTTTCATTCATCTTTTAGTATTTGCAAACACAACCCCTTAAACTCATCTCGATTTTCACTTTTTCACCTCCAAGCCGAGCTCACAATCAAGATCTTATCCTCCCACCCGAAATGCAGGCCCCCCATCTCCTCCTTCACCTTAAACCGATCCGAATACATCTTTATAAGCTCCCTGATCTCATCCTTCACGTCTCGGCTAACCGGACAAGCCCTGAATCCGGCCATGCTCATCCGGGCCCGCCATTTGCCGGCGACCTCATACCTCTCAATCCTCTCCTCTCCCTCGCACGCAACCACATTAACAATATCACGAGCCAAACAATGCTTCTCCACATTCATCCTGTCCTGGCTCTCCCGAGCAAGAGTTGCGTCTAACGACTCGAAAACGGCCGAGTAGTAACTGTAAGCCTCGGCAAACCTCGTCAGGAAAGGGGAAGTGTTCGTATTCACGTCCTGCTCGACAACTGTCACAAGCTTCGGGTTAAGGCCTTTCACCATCCTCAAGAGTCGGTCCCGAAGGTTCACGGTGGACACGCTCTCGTCCGGCATGTGGTGCAGCTGGAACGCGAAGTTGACGATGAGAGCCTCCTCGCCAGGCTGGCGGCAGTTAAGCGTCTGAGGTGAGACCAAAACAGTCCGTGACGCAACAGCCTTGAACTCGAACGAGAGGCCGAGGTCCTTCGCCAGCTGTTCGAGCCGAAGCCCGATCACTTTTAAACCCCCGACGGGCCTTTGAACAGTCTCCGGGTCATCCAGGCCCGTTAGCCGAACGTGGGCCCGTTTAGTTCCAGGATTCTTGGCGAGGGTTTGGAGGAGCGTGTAGTATTGGCTTCCTTGGTTGATATCAAAGTCGATGATGTGGACACGAGGCTCGTTACGAGCCGCCTCGACTATGGCGCCGTTTGCCGCCATGAAACCGAACCGGAAGCACGGGCAGATCTCGAACAAGACCTGCATTGCCGAGAGGCGATCGTTCGAGGGAGCCTCTTTGCAACGAAGGGAACGGTAAAGCCCGGAGCCAGACGAGCCGATTCGGGCCGCTAAGGCCTCGACCATATAGGCCGCGATTCGATCGGTGGGCTCGCCTAGTATCGAGACTCTCTGGCGGAGGGCGTCGATCATCCGTGTTGCGTCCACGAGATTGCCGTTGTGGATGGAGTTGGCGCATTCGAAGAGAAGGGCTTTAGGGGGTAGATTGGTAATTTCCTTGGCGATGATGAAGTTGGAGTTGGAGTCGAAGGAGGAGGAGGATTCTTTGGGGGAGTCGTTAATGGGGTCGGTTTCCATGCACGAGCTGTCACCATCATCGTTGAGGAGGACTTTCTCGAGCTCTTGGAGCTTTAGCCGCACTTTGTCCTCGTCATAATCGAGTGTCAAGAACGGGTTCTCGGATGTGTCGGATGGGGAATCGAGGAGGTATTTCGCGCCGCCGTAACTGTTGGAACTGTAGGATTCGCTCGTGTAGGTGGATTCATGGTTGTTGTTGGTGTTGTCCGAGTCGAACGTGTGTTCGGGGGATTTGGTGCCGTCTTTTATATAGAGCTCGTGGCTCCCGAAAAACGCGAGTGGTCGAACGAGAGACATGGTTTTTTTGGTTTGATTTTGACGCCGACACAGGAAATGCTCGTAGAATTTTCGTCACCGAATGAAATTCCACTCGAAGAAAGACTGATCTTTTTTCTGTAACAAGGAATGCAAAGAGAAGGCAAAAGGGAACAAGTTAAATGGAGAAAACCCAGAGTTACATTCAGTTTATATCAACAACAGAAACAAGAGATTTATCATCTGTACTTAACATGTAAACAGAAACTTTGAGCAAGATTGCTATTTATTTTCTATACATATGTCAACAACAGGAACAAGAGACTCGATTTCCTGTCTACAATTACATAATCACATGTTTGCTAACAATTTAAACCTAAATAAACACAAAAAAACATGAACAATTTATTAGGAGATCTCAAGAAATCTTGTAAGCTCAGAGAAAACATATAAAATAAGGTAAAAATGAAAAACCTTGTCTCAACATAAACTATAATCAGCTCCATAAAAGTTTCACAATCAACAAATTCTAAGCAATCTTGGGACAATAAAATAACATGGGAATTCCAAAATAATCCTCAATTTTCCAGAAAAATTATATCAGCATCTACAAACACATCTCAAAATTCAAAGCAGAGAAGCTAAATTAAGTTTACCTGATAAACCCAAGCAGGGGATAATAAGAAAAAAAAAAAAACAAGAAATCCCACAGAAGTAAATCTGCTGCCACAATCTACAAACCCATGAA